CTCCAATATTCTCCATTGTCTTATTTTTAACAAGGTGCTGCTAAGTGAAACTGTTCTCTCAAGAATGCCTCTGGACTGTGCACTAGACTAGGCTTCTAGAATTACTTATAGAATTTTAGACTGATGATGTCATATCTATCACCATGGAAACAGTCACTGATCCCAGATCAGCCTTTCCACTGAATGGAACTTTGGTCACATGCCTGCAACATAGCTAAAGATACAGGTGGATAAGACTGAGCAGATGGCATAGAACAAAGGTTCCACTTTTATATGGGACTAAGGACAACTTTAGCAGAGCTATTGGTTTTGATTGAACATAATAAAAAACTAATCCACTTCTATTATAAAGCAAAGTGACTGATGATGATATAGAAAAAAATATTCAAACATGAAAAGCATTTTAAATTGACAAACAAGTTATAGCAACACAATATTTTTTATATCCACAAAAGAATAAATAATCAAGTGGGAATGCATAAGTTTTCAACCAATTTCAACAATTTTTGTATCAAAATGCTCAGCTTGTTCAGGAGAATTCTGCTATGTCTTTTGGTAAAGATATATATATATATTTTTTTTCTTGATATTCAGCTTTTTCTGTGTTTTTTTTTGTCCCATTGAAATGCATTTAGAATTCTTAGATTGTAGCTAAATTCAGATAAAACTTCACCATATTTGACCTTTAACTACTTCAGCATACTTTCAGCTAGAAACACCATTCAACTTTTAAAATGTTTCCATATCTTTCTGCTAATACTGTTTAACTCAGCTTTTTGCTAACTTTTACAGGTTTGCTTCAGTGAAGCTTCAAACGTTTAAATAATTTTTTACAGATTTTCACATTTATAATGGAAGTCTATGGACGGAATGTTCAGCTGCTAGACTGTGGTCACTCTAGGGTTTTCCAGCATTTCACTCATGCCAAACAGCTTCAACTCACTCACTCATTTCTCACTCTATGTAGAAAAATTATACATCAAAACATAAGTATTTTTCTCAGGATTCAGAAAATGTATTCCTCACTTGTGTGGGATTTACAGTTTTCCTACAGTTTGCCCTAGACCACGAAGAAGTCCACACTTCCCCAATAGAAATCCAATGAGAGACTTTCCAAAAATCACCGACAAAAATCCAAAAAGATACATATTTTCGTATCGCTGCCATTGCTAAACTGTTTGATGTACAAACATGAAACTTGGTATAGAACATCTTCAGACCCTACTAGCACTTACATTGAAGGATTTTTTTCAATATCATTTATAGTTTAGCTGTTTAGCTGACTTTTTCGGGTATACGAAAACGTTGATTGTGAGGAAAAATCCTCAGACTAGGAAAAAACACATTTTTACATCGTCACCATGGCCAAATAGTCTTTAGTAGGAACATGACATTTGGCATAATCGAAGCCGAGGGATGGCTGACACCCATAGTAAAAGAAGTTTTTGAATACCCTATACAGCTTTGGCTCACCACTTGTTTGTGGGGTTTTTCAGCACCTGGAAGCTCAGTGAACCTGAGGTGCGCATGTAATCCAATCAGACGAGAAGGTGGGACAAACCATTATGTTTCTCTTCCCATTAGGATTGTAAAAGAGCTACAGACATGAATGTTATCCCAATCGGACACAAGGGATAGCTGTCACTTAGACGGAAATAATTTTTTGGAAACCATTTACGGTTTTGGCTCACCACTGGTTTGTTTGGAGGGTTGGTTTGGCTTTTGAGAGCTCAGTTCTAACAAGAAGCTACATATTATTTAATGAGAGGAGCAGGTGTGACACACCTTTTTATTTCTCCTTCCCATTAAAGTTGTGAATGAGCGAGAGCCATGAAAGTTACTCCTATTGGAGACAAGGGATAGCTGTCGCTTAGATTGAAAGCATTTTTTAGATACCATTTACGGTTTGCCTTCAGCACTCATTTGTTCAGAGCTGTTTTTCCCATTCAAAAAAGCCTGAGAGTGAAGGAACAATAGTGCTGCGCTTTTCTCTCTGTCACTGACAGGCTCTTTAAGCATCCTCAAGGTAACCAAGCTTCAAAGGGAATGCCTACCTCTGCCACTTTATACAGCACATATTAATTTAATGGAGGGAGACAACACTGATTTAACATATGGAAAAGGATGCTATATGACTACTGGCATGACCCTTCCCTTGACACTCAACCCTGATAGACTTTCAAAATAAGACTCCATGGACCCTACAAAATAAAAGCCTCTACATTACACTCATATATTTGTTGCAGCATATGGCTCAACATTATGCCACAAACTCAACCCCTTTTTAGAAATTAGACCTTAGGGGGCTTTTCAAAACACACCCCACAGAAAATTTCAAAATAAAAGCCTCCCGTTGCCAGGGAGGCAATGGGGAAAAGAGTGATTTAATGACTGGAAAGTCATCAAGTACCATTGCTGGGTCTGACCTTTTTCTCAACACACAACCCTGCTAGACTCTCAAAATAAGACTGCAGGGACCCTACAAAATAAAAGCCTCTATATTATACTGGTGTATTAATTGATGCAAATGGCTCAGCATTGTGACTCAAACTCCACAAACTAGTTTCTATTAGACTCTAGGGACCTTTTCAAAACACACCCCAGAGCAAATTTCATGATAAAAGTCTCCCATTTACGCTCTAATACAGCATCTATTTACCCAATTACATGGAAAACCAGTGATTTCACATTTAGAAATGGATTCTATATCACTGCTGGGCATGACCCTTCCCTTGACACAAAGCCATGGTAGACTTTCAAAATAAGACTATGGGGACTGATAAAATAAAAGCCTCTTCCTTATGCACACTCATTTATTGTGTCGTATGGTTCATAGCTATGACCCGTACTCAACCAATTTCTTCAAATTACACTACCAAGGCCTGTTGACAACACACCTACATGCACATTTCTTAATGAAGCTCTAACGTTTCCACTGTAATAAAGCATCTGCTAACATCGTAAGCAGATGCTTTACTTCTGTCAACTTCCAGGTAAACAGATACTTTTGGACTTTTTCTTCTGGTTAATCAACTTTAAATGTTTTGCTTTTAAGATGAGTGTGTTTCTGCCATTATTTTGCCAAATGATTCTATCCTACAAAATCTTCAGATGATTCTACTGGTTTCTGCTGTTTAAAGTTTCTGATTACTTCCTATCACATTTTGATATGTTCTTCAGCTAATTTGTGCCTCTTTTACGTTATACAGTTTCTTTAGCTAATTTTTCATTTTTCATTCAGCATAAAAAAGCATTCCCACTTTGCTGTTTCTCAGAAACAGCTTTTTCTAGTTGTATCTAGATACAATACAGTACTTATCTGCATGGTATAGATTAGATACCAAAAGACCAGTGTTGTTTGAACATTCTTCTATTTTTTCTTGGTTATTTATTTTGTACATTTGGTTAACTATTATGTGTGATTCTGTTAAGAAAGAAAGGACATAGAAAATGTTTTTCTTTTTAAAGTTACATTTTAAATTATTTTTCATTTGTTATCCTATTGGTATTTAAAATGGTATTGAGTATTGAATATTTTCATGGCTATTGATATTGAGTTTAACTTTTTAGTATTGCGACAACCCTAATTTGGTCTGCTGAGATGTTAGGCTCTTTTCCCAACCATTGACCTCTGAAAAGTCCTATGAAAGTCCTATGAAAGTCCAGAATGGAGGACAGGTCAGCCCAAATGGTCCTCGTTGCAATACTACCTGTTTATTATATAATTGGACCTGTTCTGCTTAGTGGATTATCTATCCCACACAGTGCTAGATGTTCATTAAACAGCTGGAATTATAAAAGTGTAGAATATGACCAGCAGCCCAGGTGGAAGGTTATTCTTATGTTCCCGCAGGAGGTATGTTTTTTTTTTTATAAAGAGTGCCTGTGTGTGAGAGATAGCCCATGTACTCAGAAAGGGTGTTCCTGAGAACTGAAAGTATTCATGACATACACTGTCGCATTTCACCATAATTCAGTTGGATTCAATTCAGTTCATCTCTGTTCAATACAGTCCGGTCCAATCCAATCTATTACAATTCATTTTGATTACATTTGTTTCAGTTCAGTAAGCCATATGTCCAAAATATCTCTAAAGACTTCGACTTCAACTTTATTTATCCCTTGGTATTACTCCTTCAGAGAAATTCTGTTTCCAGTAGCTTATATAGACTACAAAGAGTTTAAGCAAGATGCCATTAAAGACAAAAATACAAGAGACCATATAAAAAGAGTGTATAAAGTACGAAAGAGCTTAAAAATAAGTTGTATTGACCTGGAATATGTTACCTTTAGATATACAAATATCTGCACAATAAGACAGCTAAGAAAAGACTACACAGTAATTTATTTGGATTAATGCACTGCAGAGATGTACTGACCTTATAAATAAGTTAAAAAAAATTACACTGGCTACACAGTAGTTGGAATGTCTTATTGCACAGTGAAAGAGAAGAATATTACACGAGTGACAATAGATGATGTTTTGCAAAAGATGTCCAAGGAGGGGGGTTCTGACCCTTGTCCCTCTTTCTATCACGTCCTCCTTCCCCCAAGTGAGGAGTTTTACATCTCGAGCAGGTTAAATTCATGTTGGTTACCATAACCCTAACCCTACGCTGCAAGTGTGACCTGAATGCCCCCCCTGCATTTAAGTAATGTACAGCCTCATCTGTTCTGTTATTGTTTTTGAGTTTGATAATACATGATTGATTTAGGTATTCCAAAACAAACCACTAGACTTTGTTTGTTTCTGCCATGACTATGACCTGGATGACTGAGAATCTTCACCAGCATATTGATTTATGTAGTTTAGGTTCAGATAAAATTATTATTTTAACAGTTTAGATTTGATCTTTTAAATTAATCCTCTACCTGCCTGCAACATGTTAAACATGAATGACCATCTCCCAAGCTGACTCAGACTAGCATTGGTGGTAGCATTGTTTTTGAACTCTTTATTAGATCTCAGGCAGTAAAGAATGATTTGTTTCTCCTTACAGGTGATGGTGTGGGGGATATTTGTGAGAAGGATTTTGATAACGACACCATCATTGATCCCATTGATGCCTGTCCAGAAAATGCTGAAGTTACCCTGACTGACTTCAGAGAGTACCAGACGATCGTTCTAGACCCTGAGGGAGATGCACAGATAGACCCCAACTGGGTGGTGCTAAACCAGGTCAGAGCGCCTTAAGCTGCTTTTTATTTTGTGAGCAAATGAACCAAATCTAAATTTCATTGTAAAATCTGTGTTTCTGTTTGCAGGGAAGAGAAATTGTCCAGACTATGAACAGTGATCCTGGTTTGGCTGTTGGTGAGAACAGCTGTTGGGCATTTTGGGGAATTCCTATCATTGTAGACCATTGCAAATTGTGAAAAACACAATCCTGAAACTTATCTACTAGAATTGACTCTTTTTGTATAAATGTGAGATGTCTGTTGCGAATGGTTGTATTTTCTTTTCACTTAATTTTCTAACTGTAAAAAACAAATACACTAAATATTTTCAGGAGTTATTTGCACTTTATTGAAGAGTATTCTGTAATGCACAACTGATTTCTAAGTATCAACACTGCCCTGCAGGCTACACCGCATTCAGTGGCGTGGATTTTGAAGGAACGTTTCATGTAAATACGGTGACGGATGACGACTATGCTGGCTTCATCTTCGGCTACCAGGACAGCTCCAGTTTTTACGTGGTGATGTGGAAGCAGGTGGAGCAGATCTATTGGCAGGCGAACCCGTTCAGAGCCGTGGCACAACAAGGCATTCAGCTGAAGGTAGTCTTTTATTTTCACTCAGAACACAAACTGTTTAAAATGTGCTTCCAAGTTTCTTGGACAGAGAGCTGCAGAAGAAAACTTACTGATCTGCTTTAGAATGTCTATGGGGATGCACATGCCATAGTAAATATGCATGAGTTGGATTTCCAGTACGATTTTTATTGCAAAATTCTGGAGGCAGAGAAGAAAAAAATAACAAAAATACTTTTTGCGTTGTTTACAGCTTTGTCTCAACACTTCTGTGCTAATCAGAGGTTAGGTGGTCCAAAAAAGTTTAAAAAAACAATCCACTGGACTTTTCTTTTCCAAGTTTGAAGATGTTTTGCTTGCCATCCAGGAAGCTTTTTCAATTCAAAATGTCTGAAATAGTGTTGAGTTCCAAGCTTTATAGAGTAGCCCAACAAAGCCTTGTTTTGGCTTAGCAAACATGCAAACTGAACGATAAGAACAGGTCCGCCCCTTAGTATAGGGGAGTCAGTGAGGTCTACGTTAACCTGCAATACCCTATACTGCTCTGTAAAGGGGACTCGTTAGGGGTATTGTTGGCCTGGCTGACCAGGTGAGATGTCTTGGTTCCCTGCTTGGCGATGAGGATTATGATAGCAGGAAGGAATCAACTCTATTGCTGCATTATAGGTTTTTGAGAGCTAAAACCTGAGTCCACCCCCTCAGTTTAAGGTTGTTTTTTCTCTCCTAACATAACTGGCCTTTTTGGAATGAATGACCTGGATGTCTGAGAATCCTCACCAGCAGAGGTTATGTGGCAGCAAGGCACATACTAACAGATATTTACACAATATGTCATTTATATAATTATGTCCTCAAATCTTAATTTTTAATTCTAATTTTATATGGAAATTTTTCTGCAAAGTATCTCTTTAAATGTCGGCGGGCTGCCATTAATGTGGAAGTATGAAAACAGCGATCGCAACTCTATTCAAGCTCCTTCACATCAATCCTGCTGACAAGTTTAAAAGGCTTTTATAGTGCCACGCAAAAACGATAACTCCCCTGTCACATTCTGCCCTAGTGTAATCACAGATGTTAATGTACTTTATTAGGATTTTATGTGATAGATCAATACAAAAGTTAATTCTAATTGTGAAGAGAAAAAAAATCCATGGTTTTTCCATGGAAAGTATTTTTATTTTGTTTTTATTTAGTCCCCTGAATCAATACTTTGTAAAGGCACTTTAATGTCTCTTCCATCTTTGCACATATAATATATGCCCCCAATTCTCCTATAAATAACTTTAGATTAGTCACACACTGAATAAACAACTTTCCTGAAAATTAATTTTCAAGCCTTGCCACAGATCCTCAGTTGAATGTAGGTCTGGGCTTTGGCTGGACAATTACAACAAAGAATGTGTCTTGATCTAAACCAGACATGCCCAAAGTCTGTCCTCGAGGGCCACTGTCCTACACGATTTAGAGTTTACCCTGATTCATCACATTTGATTGCAGTTCAGAAAAAGCCTGTTAATGAGCTATCATGTTAAATTAGCTGTACTAAAGCATAGAAACCTTTAAAACCTGCATGGCAGCTGCCCTTAACAAAACAGACTAAACCATTTTATTTATTTTCCTGCTGCCCTTTTAAATGAGACACACCCCAGTCTTAAGTCTTCACCAGTCTCCAAAGGGTTGTTTCCTAGAATTTTCTTGTGCTTATAGCGCTAAACTTCAATAGACTCACTTCCTGTTTTTGCATAAAGTTTTAGTATAGCATTAAGCCATCATTATACTTGACAGCACTGATGATGAATTTAGGGTGACGTCCAGCTCTAGTTTTCAATAAAAGGAAATCAGTGAGCGCAACTCCCCAAAAAACTGGTTGAATTAGATCATTGTGAAGTTCTTGACTACCAGCACTCTGAGGTCCTTCGCAAATTTAAAATGGGCAAGAACCCAGCTGAAGAGCTGAAAATGGCTATGTGCCATCATGAGCTCCTCACAGAACCAAGACAGACAATGTGTCTCGTCCATATAAATATATGAACCCGGGAGTGCCGGTTATCCAGCCGATTATTTTCCATATGATTGCTTTGTCAGTAGAATTGGCAAATAGTACTTCTAATGCCTTTCCTTCAAAAATGGTTTTCTTTCATGTCAGTGGGGGACTCCCATTGACACAGCCTGAGAGCTCACTGTAACAAGGACAAACTTTCAGAAGAATGACTTAGAACAGGATAAAATACTTCGTTTCTAACAAGTACCAAATAACAATATTGTTCATAAATCAATTTGTATTTGGATACATTTTGTTTATGGGCAGGCAGTGAAGTCAAGCACAGGTCCCGGTGAGAATCTGAGGAACGCCCTGTGGCACACAGGAGACACCAGTGACCAGGTTAAACTCCTTTGGAAAGATCCTCGCAATGTTGGCTGGAAGGACAAGACTTCATACCGCTGGTTCCTTCAGCACCGCCCTGCTGATGGCTACATCAGGTATGGACTAGGATTATTTCAGCCTTTATAAAATAAGGAAACTAAATGCAGAGGTGTGAAATAATTAAGTAGAAATACTTTGTTACCTTACTTGAAAAGAAATTTAAACAACTTTTTACCTGTACTCCTTACATTTTTTTGCAATTATCTCTGCTTTCTACTTCTTACATTTAAAAAATAGTCGTGTTACTTTGTTCATTTAAGCTAATTTCTGTTATGACAGGTTGATATAAAAAAATAAAATAAAAAGAAAACATCAAAATAATTAATTTAGTCCAGACTTGTTGTTCGCCACATACCCAAATAAATAGTTTTTCAAAAATATGCAAAGTTAAATTTGACATTGCTGCCATTGGTTATAAAACTAAGAAAATTTAGTATAAGGAAGTTATCAGACAGTTGTAGAACATTTTTCCTTTAATAGGATAGTACACTAACCAGTATAAGGTTTAAAGTTTTGGTACTTAACATTTTTACTGCATTACTTTTACTTTTATACTTTAAGTAGTTTTAAAAATGGTACTTTAACAGTTTTATTTGTGTAAAAATCTTAAATTGAAAGTTCTAAAAAAGTGTTTTTAAACAGACAGATTTATACTTCTACTTTAGTAATAAACATTAATACTTTTGACACCTCTATCTAAATGTACATTGAGACAGACGAAGTAGTGCCTCATTGTAAATGTATCTGTGGGTTGGGAGAAGAAAAAGGCAAACTGAAGCTGCACTGCAAAGACAGGCAGGAAACCACAAAAACTGCTGACAAAAAAGAGCTGCTGCAGGGGTCCAAGCAGCCTGATCAAAGAAGGGCAAAACATTAGCATAAATCTCGAGTATTAAAAACAAGCCGTAAAAAAGACAGATGAATGAAAACTCAAAATAGAGCAGAGAAAAAAGGCAGGTAACAGAAAGTTAATTTAAAAGAAAAATAAAGGTGCAGCAAAAAATTAAGCAAAATAGGATAAAAAAAGAAAATAATGAATAAAACTTTAAAGGCTCTGTAAACTCTAAAAATTGTCAGCTCATGCACACCTTTGAGGTATGGGTATACATTTGAGTATCTCACAGTACTCTCATCTATATACTCATTTTATCTGTGATCTTACTGCCATCTGCTGTCAATGCAGAGTTCGTTTCTTTGAGGGTTCTCAGATGGTGGCAGACACTGGGGTCATCATAGACGCCACGATGAGAGGAGGCCGACTGGGGGTCTTCTGCTTCTCCCAGGAGAACATCATCTGGGCCAACCTGCGTTATCGCTGCAATGGTGAGTAGAGGCTTTAAAACTATCTAAGGGACTCTAGGGTTTTTCTACAGAACGTTGTCACCATCTATCTCTCGTTCGGCATATTCCTGCAAACTTTAAGGAGACATTTCACACATTTAATAACAAAAAAAAAAAAAAATATTCTTAGCTTTAGAAATTGAAGCTGAAAAGTAATAAATCAGTCACAAATCAGACTTAAACTGGAATCAACTGTTAAGCAAATTTAGTGGTTGGTATTATCCAGATAGCTGGGAATTTGGACTGATAACATTAGATTAAACTAAATGTACATGTTTACTTAACAAGGAAGATGTATTTCAGTAAGGTTGGAGCTAATGTTGTCCATCATAAATAGTGACAACTTGAGGAATTTTTTATAACCGAACTGACTTTGTGCTACGGCTCCTTTTAGACACTCTTCCTGGGGACTTTGAAACCTACAGAGCGCAACAAGTGGAGCTGGTGGCCTGAGGTTGGAAAGCAAATCCTTTACAACCAAGGAGGGAGGAAGAAGAAACATCAATAATAAACCAATCCAGACATGACCATCTATGCAATCAGCAGATGCGTTTGGATTGTTGAATATGGAAAATATGTCTATTCTAAATGATGTTCCTGCAAACTTTTGTGAATAAATAAAAAACAATTTAACTAAATTAGAAATGTGAATGAAGTTTCTCCATCATAAAACAGAAATGTGCTATATATATATATATATATATATATATATATATATATATATATATATATATATATATATATATATATATATATATATATATATATATATATATATATATATATTAGAATGAAAAACTTAATTATAATTACTTCATTTCCATGATGTCACACACTTTATTTCTTTTATATGTTTTCTTTATTAAAAAAATAAATAAAAAAAGACAACAGACTGGTTTACTGCCTCACCCCTGCTCTGGCTTTTCCTTCTTTGGGCAGTAAATTTTGACAAAGTATGTTTACTATAAGAAAGAGCTTTACTAAGAGTAGTATACTGCAGGCTGATAGTAGTTTGAGCAAATAGAAAAAACCTATTGGCAGAGGAGATCCTAACAAATGTACATGAATTCCTGCCGTTTGGACCGAATTCAGATTTAACTACGAATAACTTAGTTAAAAATTATAAAGACAGTTAACCTTTGTTTCAGATTCAGTTCACATCAAATACATGTGAGCTGCAGGCACTGCACATTTGTATTTCCTCTGTTTCCTCAGAGCACAGCAGCTGGCCAGTGAGTGAGAAAAAAAAACTTTAAAGATGAAAAAGGTTTTTAACAAATCATTGCATGTAATGAAGAAAACCTGCCCTGCACCTGAATGAACAGATTGATGGATAGATAGAAGGGGAGGATTTTGGAAAACTGAACAAACTTTAGTAATGTTTTATTTATGATCTCTCTGGCATAAGTCACCTTTTTTATTATATTTGATAAATGAGAGGATCACCTGGTGTTTAATGTGCATTTCATGAAAACTTTTTTTCTACTGTTTTTTTTTTTTTTTTGATTTTTTTACTAACAAAACAACACAATCAACATACATATGTCATGTACAACATTTTTGATTCATACATTTAAAGAAACGTTACAGTGCATAACAGCATCAAGTAAAAAAAATATGCAATTGGTTGCTCTCTGGATGCTTGTATAACAGGAAACAGTGGAAACATGTCTTTTATAGTATTTGACAGTGGCTGTATGTGCATGACAAGATGATCACAGCATGCACAGAAAAACATGCAGCCCCAGTGGTTTCAGTTTTGGGTTTTAGCAGCAGCATGCAGCCCTTTAAGGTGAAGTAAAACAGGTAAACTGACATTTATCAAGAAATATCTAAACTAACAACTGTCTCTATTTTTTATTTTTATTTTTTTTTTTCATTTGGGTGCAAAAAGGTTCATAGAGGTGAATTTCATTTCTTCAGATCAAGCTAATAGCATGATGTAACAAAAAGTTTTTTTTTTTGCCTCAGTAAATTCATTGTGCACAGAAAAGACGGTCAGGTAATATCACAATAAGGAATGATGACTGAGGTGCATACCGAAGGTGATACATGTTATTACAGGGAGAATAGAGTGTGGTAGTGTTATACATTAAAGCTTGATATTCATAAGGTCATGGAAAATGGGATAAGATATGGGGAAAACAGTCTATCTGTAACCCAAATGAAGGTGGTGCCATCCTCTCCTCACATGATCCAGACAGGAAGGAGTCCCATTTAAACAAAGATCCAGCATCTGATGTCTCCACATGCACTGTGGCTCAATATCACACAGCCTTCTCTACCAACCTGCAGGTGATGCCACAGTGGATAAAAGCTTCAATTCACAAACAACTGGTGAATCAACTTCAAATGGGAAATTTAAGCAAATATGCTTCTTTGTTTCTCTCAGGAAAACATCAGGGAGTTACGTTTAAGTCCCACAGTGGGCTTCAGGGAGACGTTGCTCGATGGTTTCATCTACAGTGAACACAGTCACTTCCGGCCTGCTGGGGCTCAGGCAGCTGGTGTGGTTTAGTGATACGTAGCTCTCAGCCAGCTCACTCATCTCATGCGTGTTACTAGTGACGCAGCTGATTTCTGTCTTGTTGCGGTTTGCAGGTCGACGAGGGTCAAACACCCAATCTGAAGAAAGACAAAAAGTTGAAGTAAAATTTGATGCATCAGAATCATCAGGAAAGGATCTAACATTTCAAAGCAAACCCCAGAAACACCAGTCTGAAGGCTCTTAAAACCATTTAATTTAAGGTCATTCAAGGATCTGCAGACACTTCAGTTCAAAGATTTTATTCAAAATTCTCTTTGATGCCAACAATGTAGTATTTCACAAATTTGCAGAAACATTGAGCTAAATTTTAGCATTAAAAAAAACAGGCCAAAAATAATCAGGTGAACTTTTAAGAGATGCAAACAGTAATGCAAAGAACCCTGTTCAATATAAAGTTTTTTGTCGGTTCAGCTTCCCTGTTTCCATTAGAGGCAAAGCAGCATAAAATTGTTTTTGCAACAGCCTCTGCCTCCCTGTATCCCCTTTATGTGTGATGGAGGCTTTTTGAATGGAGATGCATCAATCACTGTTCTGTCAGACGAGAGGCTAAGATTAACACTGACAGTTGTGAGGGTGAAGAAAAGGCAGGAATGGGGGTTCCTCTGACCCAGAGAGATCCCTCTCAAATGGTGCATTAGACAATCTGATCACGTGTTTGAAAAACTGAAGTGACTAAGCATGTTTTTTTTATTAAAGTTCAGGTCTGGATCTGTGTGATTGATGATGTACCAGTATCCGACTGATGTTAAACAGGTCTTTCCTGGCAGCAGGTGATTTTATCGCCAGTAAAAGTTAATGTTGCAAATGAAACTAATTAGTCTTCATCCCATTCTACAGAGAACAGTGATTTCAAATATGAGTTTTAATGTAGATCTACTTGTAATAATACATACCTCTTAAATCAAGTGTTGAGATAAGAAACTATCATTCGTTAATGTTCAAAATGACAAAAAATGTTTTAAATCAGGTTGGGTCTGGATCCGGACCCACCTATATCCCTATTTGATCCATCCAGCTGAATGAAACAGGTTCTTCTTTGCTCTTAAAGGTATAGTGGAGGATGTACTTTTTCCGGGTGGATCATTAAAATAAGTGGTCCTCCTAATTGCCAATCATTCTGATAATTTGTTTATGTAAGGGTGTCCTACGTGCTCATCCCTCAGTAGCTATAATTTTCTGCACATGCAGACTTTCAGGCATATATGTGTGGTGAGCAACTTTAAAACAGAACGTGCACAAAGAGAAATGGGCTTGTGTATGCTCTCACACAGGTTTAATAGGCATTCCCGTTCTGGAGCGGGTACAGGGTTGTGCTTGTGCTTTTTTTAAACCGGAGAGGGCGGATTTTTTCTTCAAAAATCTTCAAAAATTAGGGTGAATCTCCCCTTCACTCTGGAACAGAAGGTCTTTACCTGTCTTTCTCTTCGAGAAATCCCTGTTGAGGTTTGAGCCTCTTTCTAGTGAGGTAACAAGGGAGAAATTAGAACCCTGATTGGATAACATGTCAAAATCACAAATTTACTTACATCACTTCCAGTGAGGCTAAACCTCTTAGGGGGTCTATGGAGGAGGGGCGTGTCATGAAGCTGACTGCTCGATGCTGATTGGCAAACATACTTAACGACTTTTAACTGACACTGGCCAGTTATTGAGCAGGATTTCCTCATAAGCAGAGACAGAAAAGTGATCGTTCAGTCAGATCAGTCATCTTGTGCTGAACTCTTGCCGTAGTTTCTGGAGTTTATTAATTCAGAGTGCTTCAAAAAAAGCAATTTTACCTTTTGTAGTTATGTATTTTATGTGTTTCAACATTTGTTAATGCAATACTTAAAGTTGGATTCAATTAACACTATTAAGCCTCCCCTGTTTCAGAAAGCAGCAGCCGCCACTGAGTCAGTGAAACTCAGTGGACATACTATTCCTCTGGGTTACATTTCATTACTCAGAATTTTACGAGCAGCAGACAAAGTCTGAGTGATCTCGGTTTATTTGAAGGGACAAATTCTCAGAGGAGTCAAAAAAGGAGGGGATTTATCATCAATACTGGGCAGTTGCCTAGGGCCCCAAGGAACTTGGGGCCCCTTAAAACTCTGTTTACATTAGGGCTGGGTAAAAAAAATCAATGTCTAGGAAATGAGATCAATTAGTTTTATAGTGACGGACGCTCGTGATGTTCACATTCAAATGAGCAGGAAAGATGCACTCAACATTACTTTAAGCCAGACAGCTGCAAATATAGCCAATAGGTTGACTGAAGACATTAACAATACAGTAGGGGCTGAGCGGCAAACACCCTTGAGTTGTTACACACAATACTGCAAATATGGTTTGTGCAGGGCAGATAATTTAGCTCATGCATGTCTGCTGTGTCCCCGCTGTGTCACGTATGCTCGCACGAGTGAGGCTTCACTTTTTCACTTTTCACAAACAAGTTTGCACTTATGAGACAGTTTTGTTCACATCTCAAGTTTAAACTGTCTGATTTACAAGTTTGCACTTTGTGTTTAATATGACAGGAAAATATAAAATAATAAAAAGTATTTTAAAACACAGTTGAACCACTTTCATTACTGTAAAAACCGATTGAATGGAAATTATTCAATTTAGAACTGTATTAATCAAAATCAAATCAATTCAGGACTTGGGCGAAAATACCCAGCCCTAGTTTACATGTATAGTTATTACAACTATTCCTTATTTGTGCACATTAATTATATTTTTTATTAAAATCCTTTTGCCAAAAAGTCATCAGAACGCTTATAATATTAAGTATAATGTTTTCATTCCCTTTGAGAAAGCATGAAAAGTCAGCTGAGTACAAATCATATAGAGTAAAAAAACAAGAGGAGGGACAAGAAGAGGAGGCAAAACGAAGAACAAATAATGTATGTCTATTCTATTAGAATTTCTGTATCTGTATAATGGGTCTGTTTTATGTGTTGTCTTCTCGATGTAGAGGGCCCCATGCCTGTTTTTGCCTAGGGCCAAAATTTCCTAAATCCGCCCCTGAGTCCAACTTAAAGCTACACCAAGAGATTGTGACAATTTTATAGATCCAACAAAACCAAAATCAATAGATGGTAAATTATGAATTAAG